TAGGAGAAGAGTTACCAGCGTAAACTGTCATATTCATATGATGTGGTAAAGCAGCAAAAATTAAACGAAATTCTCATTTTTGATCCAAATTTTATATCGCTTTTAAAACTGTGTGCACCTTGCAGTCTTGCTCATCTCTCATATTTCGTACAATTTTCCAATAAACAACGGTCACATAATTTATCTACGAGTTATATCAACTTATCACAACTAGAATTTCCATCATGCATCTTGTAGTGGTATTGTCAAACTGGTAAAGAGTACAAATGAAACCTAAACTTTATGGTTGCTAAGACCGTAAGCTTAAGACGCTATCTCGCATGCCGCCGAACTTTCCAAAATGTGCATGTCAAAACCTACGAATAAGAATGTTTATTATAAGAAATTTTGTTCGCTAACCTTTTAATCTATGTAAAAATCTTTCATTTAAAAAAAAAATTATTAAAAAAAAGCCAGAAGAAAGAAGACAATTTATCGCTGATTGTTCTGTGCTTGGAGGAGCGATACACATTTTCTGATTGTGTTTTCTGATCGTACGGCTGAGAGTTGTCCTGAAAAGGCTCGGTAACAGTGGCTGGCTTATGTTTCGACAATCTGAGTCAGTCGAGTATTAGAGCGTGCGAAAGAGTCCAGCTATCTCACTAACAGGGCGGATTTTGTTACTGTATGATAAGTAACAATGCACCCGATTTATTACAGTACTGGAATTAACTATAGTAGTTGCTTGAAAATGAAAGATTTCATTCAAGAAGGTTTTGGCGGATTATTGAAGAACAGCCTCCAAATATTGCTTTGATCACAGACATCTTCAGCTTTGTTGCATCTTAGTAAATAGCTTTAACCTTGTGTGCATCTTCTAATGGATTAGTAATTTGACGCACCTCCCCAGCTTGTCAGGAAGTCGAGAATACCGTATCACTTTGCAACAAGTTACATTTATCACCCATTCATCGTGTCAACACGGTGATACCACGAGTAGGTGTTGACCCGTTCTTGAAAGAAAAGCCGGAAACAGAACCAGAAGTCTTTGGCAAACCACTGAAAATTTAACCAATTTATTTAACTCTTACAGAGTTGGTTTCATACCTCAACAATTGTTTCGGCTAGCCAACTTTGTTCTTCGTGTAACCCTCGAAAGTCCAGAAACAAAGTAAAAATTGCAGCGTTTAGCTGATAAATTGGAATACAGTAATTTTGATTTGAGACATATGACTACTCTTTCTGTGATATAAACTTCTCGTAAAAACGAATTTAAAATGTGTTCTTCTTCCCCAGTAAAATCGCAGGTAATCTTTGGAGGAAATTCAGTGATAAAACACAGAGTATCTCCGTTCGTCGTAATTCAATTGACTAGGATGCTTCTGAACGGTCTTTGAGGAAACGACAGTGATGCCCTTCAGTTATTTAGTTTCTTTCCTGTATTACTCCTCACTAAGTTTACCAAGAAAAACTATCGTGCGATGAAAATATTTGCGGTAGCCAGTAGTTTTTCAGAAGGGATCTTCAGAGAGAGACAGAGAGAGACTGGGGACCCAGTTTAGTCTTGCTAGAGAAACCAAATTATTCTATGTCAATTTTTTTTTCTATAAGAAACATTCGAACTGAGAACTGCTCGTTTGCAAGCTCTCATATAATGGAAGGCATAAAATGATACTTTCGAGCTGAGTGTATTTTGTCTAGTTTTTTCTTCATCCAGCACTGAAAGTCAAACTGGAGAACTTTGCAAAGAGAATGACAGTTGTGCTTTCGCGATGTTTCTTTTCTTTTCTTTTCTTTTTTTTTTTTACGCGAAGAACAAAACATCTGGTGCAGACGTTCATTAGACTCTTGAGATAATTCCGCTTGCTCTTTGCTTGTGCACGTGTCACGGTAGCCACAACAATTTTGACGGCATTGTTATAAAACGCTTTGATGAAGATATTGTCTTTGTTTGCGATAATTACTTACTGCTAAGAGCTGTGCGAACGCCTCTTGACTTGCCTTCTCGAATTATCTCTTTGTAATGCTAAACTGTAGACTGTTAATTAAATTCGCGAGGAGTTTTGGTCCTGTTTCCATCGCATGGCAATTATGTCTAGGTTTAGCTTCCACTGGGACATATTTGTTGTAGGTAAAGTTTGTTTTGGTGAAGCTTAGCTCCAAGTGTGAGGAATACTTAGAGTCCGTACGAAAAGAAAAGAAAACATGCCTTGTTAAAGAGTTACAATTTTATCTGTGGAGCTAATTGTTGTTACTATTATCATTGCTTTCTTCTCTGAATGTTTGATGCCATTTATGTTAGGCACTCCTCAACCTCGGAAAAAATATACCAGTACTCTTAACAATTCCTATGTCGAGAACTCTAAAAGTATATTTTACGAGGAAATCAATTCAAAAAGCGGTCGTGGAACAAGTATTAAGAGCATTCAGCTAACACAGAACGAATTAATGAGACAATTTCCATCCTTTTGTCGAGTTCTGGGACTGAGAAAAAGTAGAGTACTACTATATTCCTGAAAGTTCCGCCTTGAAATCAGTTGCATTTTTTTTGGTGTTCATGGTTTCGACTTCCGCTAACAGTCGGTCGCTAGGATAATGAAAATCAAAGTGTTACGAAATCCAAGTATATTTTTTTTTATGAAACTGTCTTTCATCAAACGCCTGATTAAGAAAGATTTTAAAAATAAATTAGAGAAGGCATGAACTAAAGCTCAAGGCAAAACGTCAAATATTCTCTAAAGATACGCTTTCATTTCGTACTGTTCTCAACCTTAAGTTTGGAGGTATCACAATCAATTTGAATTTCTTTTTAACTTTTTGTGATGTTTGTATTATCGAGATGATATGTACCTGCATAAAAATTACTGTTTTAGGAGCCTGTTCGCAATAACCCTAACAACCATAAGGCGCTAATATCAATATCCCTTGAAATTTGCATAAACATACAATGTTGAGTTCTATACCAAAACTCTTTACGGGCAAGTATACCGTTAGTGATAACATCTCGTGCTTGTGATAGCGATTCATGTAAAAATAGCTACCCTCATTACTTCCCTTGTAGTGTACCTTGTTTTAAAAATTGCATGATTTATATGGAAACATTGTCATTCAAAAGGCGCAAAGTAGGGAACAAAATCTTTTTCTGTACTCACGCTGTTAGCTCCGACTGTATTGTTATCGTATCAGAGAGCTTCTTTTTTTTTTTCGAACAAGCAAACTATCGATTCAATTAACAACTACCCTTTTTTTCTCATCTACTGATATTTCGTTTCTGTTTACTCGAAAAATTCTCGGAAAAATCTTTTCTGAATTGACCTCAACATGATAAACCCTGATAACGCGATAATGGAAGTGCTTAGTGTTGCGGTTAGTCGAGATTCTTATCTAACAGTCTGAAGGAGTCGAACTTCAACCTTTTTCCACTGTTCGGCTTTAGTCATACCCCCAACCCAACTGTGTTGTCAATTCAACGATCACGAAAGCTTTAGACGCTCCCGTGATCATTTCGTTAGACGAATTTTGTTCCTCTGCGTCCGTTCTGTGGTTGCATTCACAATGTTTACATGTGCTGTTGTGCGTGGCCCCACCTTCGCAGCGGCTGACACAGTGCTGTCGCAGTTAATCTTAAATCAAGCATGGCTTCTCAGGAGGAGCACAGCGGGACGTCGAAGCGTTTGAAAAGGCTTTGCACAAAAGCGATTTCGACCGCTTCCAGGGTTGTGATTAGCTATTGTTCCCCCCTGGTGGGGAGTAGAGCGATTAAATATTACGTCTAAAATCAAGCGTGGGATTCTTGGTGCACCCGGACGGAACGTCGAGACCAGACAACCAGAAAACCTGTGTATTTATCGTATGAAGCAACTGACTTTTTAACCTCTCTTTGCGACTGTCGCACTGACTTAAATGTGATCAAAAATGTTTATGAAAATAACCTAACATTTTCAATGTAATTATGTTTCCGTTGGCTTTGACAAAAAGTTTTTGTTCGGTGTCCACCAAAACTTACTGATCGACCATGGTGAGTGAGGTCACATTAAAAAAAGATATGAAAATTCTCCATTTTTTTCTTCACTAACTCTATATTTTTCCTTATTCATGGCTAAGTATAGAAAATTCTGACATCTTTTGGGTTAGACACCAAATAAAAATCTAAGTTTTTGTAACCTCGTGAATGTTTTTTTTTTAATTTGTGTATTCGTTTGTCGCCCAAGGGAGACAAGCTGAGGAAAATTGATGGATAAAAATCCACAAAATATTTAAATTTGATTCCACCCCTGAAACTACTTGGTAGTGTTATTCTCTTTGCGAAACATCTGTTGTTATGTTGTGTTGTGCAATTTCCTATGCTAGCCGACAGATATGTCTCCCCCTCTATGCATCGAATCATCTGCTCCGGTAAAATTGTGAGGTTTGTGTCGACTGCTTTCATAGCAGAAAAGTGCACGAATAGTCAGAATACAGCGTGAAATTTTCCGTTATTCCAAATCCTATGGATGTCACATCTTCTGTGGACTGAAAGTCCTCTCTTAGTTTGTGTAATTACTAACCTCTAAAGAGAATCATTTGTGCAAGTTTTATAGACGATTACGTGTTTGGTATAATTGCGTTTTGAGATTGTTAACAACTTTGTTGACTAACTTAACATAAGGTTCCGGAGTTCGATTGTCCCGCAGTTACACGAAGACTTCGTCGAGTAATGTGTTTCTAAATCTATCGCAAGGATTCAGGAAGGGCACCATCCCGTTTGAATTCCTCCGAAAAGCTTACGTGGCTGATAACAATTACAAAGTTTTATATGTTCAATCGCACTCAAGACTTAATTTTTTTTCAGATTTTAAAAGATTACCGGTTGTGTTTCTGGTGACGCTGTTATTATGCTCTTTAACTTGCCGCGAGCTTTTTACTATATTTTGTGTGGGCCTGTGTTATAACTCACGTTGCTGATATGATGTACATCACAGCTTCGATTAAAATCCTCAGATGTTTTTGTACTAATAGATCACTTTTATTTTTTCCTCATTTTCTGACAAAGCTTGACTGTCTGGGAACCGTAGAAATCTTTTGAACTTCGAGGGGGCAGACAACTCGCTGGGGTACTTTTTAAACTCAAAAACTGCAAACAGCAGAAATAAAATCTCCCAGCTGTTTCCTCCCCCTCATATTTCCGAAGGGAATCCTTATTTCAGCACTTAGTGGAAGAAAAACTTTTAACCTTCGACTCTTCATTCTTGGGGCGAATGTAAAATTGAGTTGTCGTTTCACTCCCTGTGAAAACCAGCGTCCAACACTCTTTACAGTCTTATCTTACTTTGAAAACACACTGTGTTTGGCCATGATAAAAGGTGCCATATTTGCTAGCTCAATGATACAGATTGGCTATGGTGAGGTTAAAATTTGCGAGGGCCTCACTGAAACGTACAGAAACCTTTGTTGCTCTATAAAATGCTTCGGTAATTGTTGTTCTTGAAGAACTGCACTGATTCACTGCGTTCGAAGACTTAGATTAGTCCTTGATTGATATAAGGATATTCTTGGTTAAATTATAATGGCAGTATAAGTTTGAAATTGCGCTTCATGGTAAGTGAATCTTTTACTCAGCCCCTCGATTTGAAAGATATGTCGAACCCAAATTTTGAAAAGAAATTTCACGAAAAATATTGAAGCGAGTGGAGAAGGCCAAGGTGGCCATGTTTAATTAATCAAGGCTCAGCTTTACACTCATTGCCGTCTCTTAACAATCATACGCTTTTAGTGAAAGAAAGATAAGAAATCTTGTTAACACGGAAGGAAAATCAAAATTTTCAATGGCTATTTTGGCGTTAAGCGGAATTTTATTTTCACCAGTTAAGAAAATAAATTAATAGGTTTTGTTTTTCCAAAATGGAAATCATCACACGATACAAACCGTCCTTAAGACTAAGCACCGTTTGTTTCGTTATGCAAGGACTAAGGAGAGGATAGCTTTCCTATCTCTTACATAGACCATGCTTACGACGAAATAACAAATTCTTGAACACCATATCCTTCAAGAGCAGTAATGTGTTCCAAAACTTTTTTTGACGCCTCATTTTTCGTGACTCGACTTGAAAAGTTTACTGTTAGCGGTAACCGGTGCGAACAGCATGGCTTCCAAATGTTTGTAATTGCTACGTTCTGCCTCACGAAACGTGACTTTTTCGGAAAAATCGAATTCTTCGGCTAATCCTTCCGTTCGAGGACTGTAACATTTTTTGAGAGAAAAATCTTTCCCTTTCTCTGTTACTTTTGATCGGAAACCGCGCACTCTTGCGAAGTAATGAAGGTTTTACATGTAGTATTCAACATTTGTTTTGTCTTTTGCATCCAACTGGTTCACAGATTTAGTTGTGTTTGCTACAAAGTAGGTTTCAGATATTGCATGGTATTCTCCTATAAGCAATTTCTGTACATCTTTTCAAGATTTACACGACTACCTGGTTAAGGTAACTGGAAACAAATATTTACATATATGAGAGGGAATCTGTACATGCAATAGTATTCGATAAGAGAAAGCACTTCATAAGTACTTCCCTTTTATCGTCTTATTTGCAAATTAAAAAGTGCTGCTTTAATTTAGAACTGTGTAAATCGTTCATAACTTTCTAAACGAATGAAATTTCTGCATAAGGAGTTTTCTTACATTACATTACGAAGCTAAGATTGTTGCCTAGAACGCTTTTAAAAATTCGTTGCGAAAATTTTTACCTAACATTTGTACTCCTGTAAAACTTCGACTCTTTTAAGGCTGTCTACAGATGTCCAGTGCTTCAACTTATTTGCAAAATCTGCAGTTAGCAAGAGTACCATTCTGAATTGTTCTCTGCATTTGATCGTGGCCTCGGCGACGGAGATCTGGCCGCAGGCTTTATTGGGCTATCCTTGTCTGAACTTATACTGTCCCGCTGTCCGTTCGTTTGTGAAATAGGCGGCGACAAAGGCCTTAGTCCACCAGTTTCATGAAGTTTCATGTGTTTTCGAAGTGAGCTGGGGTGCGTATAGCTTTTGTTGCACCCTTCGATTTTACAAATGTACGGTTTATCTGAAGTGTGAACGTGCGAATGCTTTTTTCTGTCGCTTGAGTTGGCGAAGCGGCGATCGCAGCCAGGGAACTCGCACTCGAATGGTTTTTCTCCCGTGTGAGTTCGTTTGTGAATTTTTAAGTTCTCTGACCTAGCGAACAGTTTTCCGCATCCGGGAAAAGGACATGGAAAGGGTTTTTCCCCAGTGTGGACTCGAATGTGGTTTACCAACTTGTATTTTGCCTTGAATGGCTGTCCGCTTCTCCCGCACTCTTGCCAGTAGCAGACGTGCAAGTTGGAGTCGTTGATGCTTACATGTTCGTCTGAGATGTGCGATACTAAATCAGGCATCATGGTGAACTGCTTGCCGCAAGGTTTCCGTTTCCCTTGCACTGGGTTCTGGTCTATCCAAAGGCAAGTTAGAATTTGATTTGTGGGTTGTTTCATCAAGGGAAGATGATACATTCCCGGTCCAGTCGGCCCTCCATATCCTGGTGGACCATGATCCAAGAAAGGACTACCGAGGCCACCTTGTGCAAATCGATCGGCTCGAGAGTAAAAGTCTCCTCGATATCTGAGCTGATTGTTGAGTACAGGAGGCATTCCATGGTGTGGAGAGGTTGCCTCGTGTCCTGATGTAAGTGCTCCGTAGTGTATATGTGGATTGCTCGTGACATCTAAGCCTTTATGCGTCACTGCGTGATGGTAGTTTATGTTGTTTCCGTGAATTGCAGCGGTTGGTGGCGAACTGAACATGTTGTGCCTATGTGAGTAATTGGGTGTGTTGGAAGCGATGGGGTCGTGAAGAGCAAGCGAGTGAGAACTCGCTAGGTTGGCTGATCCTAAGTGTGAGTCCTGGTGATGGATAAACTCAGGTGGGAATCCTTGAGAAGAAACATGACGGTACGCTGGAAACGAGTGATACAGAGTCTGCTGCGAAGACATCCCGGGCGGTTTTTGATCGAATGCGACAGCTTCTGCTTGTGCTCTGTGTGCAAATCTGATCGACGAAAGATGGCTCCCTGAGTCCAGCAAGTGATTCATTCCTAACGGCGGCTCCTTCTTGTGTTCGTTAAAGCCCGCGGTCGAGGTGGTTGGCAAGTTGCTCGCAGACGAAGACCGAAGAGCTGCACCCTCGAACGGTAATGAGTAGCGTTTGGCGAAGCCACCGTCCATTTCAAGGTTTCCCCGGGTTTTGAATATGGAACAGCTCTAGGCAAGTGTAAATAATAACGCGGCAAACTATTATTAAAGAGAGGCTACGCGAAAGTTTTGAGTGTAGTAGCATATGTTACACCGTTAAAACACAGCGTGAGACTCTGATGACAATTGTCCTGCTAAGAAAGCACGCATGAGCAGTAAAATGATCCCGGTGAATATTATGATTAGTCGTCTCCCGCGGAGCTGTGGTTATGTTCCTAATTGTTTGATAGCTTCTGAAAACAACACTATATTTGGCATTCCTTTTCTTATTGACTAACACAGGGTACAAACCATTTCATCAGCTTTAAGTGTCCGATCACACGCAAGATAACAGTACTTCCTCGAAGGAGTATCGCGTGCTTTCCCTGGGAATTTCACGTCTGTTCCCTCTCTTTTCTTCGTAGAGCATGACAAATACATGTTGTCGTTCAGTAACAGCTACCTCGCAGGTGAGGCTGCCGTGATAGACATATAGGGAGGGACACAATTTGAAAAGCCCAGCAGGAAAGAATAAACACCTTGAAGCGGTGTCACTCAACGTAGCTATTGCTGAGCTTCTTGTTGAAAGTTCCCCTTGAAATTTTCAAAGGGCGCCCCCAACTTCAAAATGTTTCTTTACATAACGGGATTTGTAGTGGATTAGAAGATTCACGCGCTGAGCGTTTTTGCCCTCAATCTGCAATGTTTGCCGCGATAAATTTATTAACACCGCGAGAGACACAATACTATTGACAAAAATCGCCGGGAGTCGCCACAGTTTGGCTTTACTTTGCAAGCGACATGCGATTCTCGCCAATTCATCATTCAATTGTCCGCAGAGTTCTCAAGCGGGCCGTGCGGGGAAGGCTAATCATATACCATAGCTCACGATACATATATTTTGCTTTTAAACGGCGGATGCTTGCAGCCACTATAAAAAAGTCATTTATAAAAATGTCAGATGTTATCTTTAAGGACTTATTTCTGAGAATAATGCGTCAATAGACATGTTAAGTGCTACCGATCGTCCACTATTAAACAGGGCTTAGGCTCAAAAAAGGGTGAAAACTTGAATTTCATTTAGATGAGTTTAATTAAGGGCCGTACTAAAGTGACTACTACTGCTAAGCATAATTCATGCACGGTAAGCCATTGTTTTTTCCAGTTTGAACCGTGGTGAAGCATCAGTGTTTATAGAACTCATGAAGGACATGAAATAGTTTGTATAAATAGGTTCACCGCGCGGGGCGCACCCCTTTCGTGGCTTCATTAATTGAATGTATTCACTCTCACTGTCTGACTAATTTCCGCGGTTTTCAAGTATAGCAGCGAACGAAGCCAAGCTGCAGATTAGTTTTAAACGAAAAAAAGACAATTTCTCCTATTCCCCGCCATGAAGGAGGTAATTATTACTGCGCCTTATTGAATTTTAAGTGGCAATTTAAAATTTGACAGGAGCTGAGTCAATAAGTATGCACCACAGTCAGAATTGGTCCAAAAAGTTCCATTATGAGAAATGTAATATATTTTTGAGCTCTGCTGCCGCATAAAAGAAATTGGTTTTGAAAAAAAAAAAATAAAAATAAATAGGGACAGCTTTAATCCTCGAGGCTATTTTTCTGCGACATAATGTGATGTTGTAATATACCAGGTCATTTTCTTAGTAAACAAACTTCAAACCGGTAACCTTGCTCCATCAAAAGATATTTCATTCCCCCCTCAATCATTAACTGTGGTGATATCAATCATATTGAGTAAAAGAACAACACGGCTGCTCGGTCGTATATTCGTGTGAAATATTTCCCTCATCGCAAGTCCGGTTTTATTAGATTAGTTATCTCCTGGCTGATATTCTTGAGAATTGCGGCCTATTTAGGTTTTCCTTTTTTGAATAGAGGCAGTTAATATCTTTTGCATGTTTTACATCCAGTTTATTTCTCAGGTAAACGGATGTATCCACCTGCTTGTGTTTACATCTCCAATATCACTCAGCTGTCCCAATTATTTTACCTAACCTTCATGAAATAAATCAAACCGATTATTGTGCTCCTTGCCTCGAAAATTCGATTGGTCCAGCGACTTCGAAAGTGTCGTGACGTTTGCGGGGGAAAAGTCTGAGTGCCACCGTCTCTGGCTGAAATTAACTTCAAGGAAGCCGGAGCTATCGGTTGAATTTTTAACTTGTAATTTATTTTTATATTCATATTTCCTATGTATCCGGTCTGATCGTCCGGCGCTTCAGAAGTTAAAATTCTTTTTTAATAAACTGCACCGTGGTGGAGTTTGTTTTAATCACACCATACACACCATGAATCAAGAAATTAAAAACGGGAGCATGGTGATCTAGGGAGAAGAGAAAATGCTCAAAATTAACCACAACAATTCTTCACTTGAATATTCCTTAAGCAAGGTAAAATGTAAGGACGAAAGGAAACGCTGAGATCATGACATCCGTATAACGCCATAGACATTTTAATGTTTTTTTTCAATCTTTTGAGAAAGCTGCCCTTAAACGTTGAGCTTATTTACACCATCTAGAGCGCCTTATTTCGATATATTTGCATATAAGTACTCGCCTACAGCTAAAAAACCTTATTACCAAACGTCGCCCTTGGAGAAATCGGCCCAACATAGCAATTATAAAAAGTTCTTGTGAAATCACTTTGTCTTCCATATTTAATTTTCTTTGACCGTCAAAATCATTCCCTGAAATGAGATTAAGACAAACATAGGCTTTTCTCTGTTTTTCATACTACCTTCCCTGTTGAGTGTTATCAGAAAATGTAAAAATCGTCGAAATGTATTCCGATTTGTGTCATGCTCCCTATTCTGGATATGACAAATATTTTGCTGTTTAATTGTAGTTTTGGGAATTCCCATGAAAGGAAACAAAGGGCTCTCTCTTTTTATTCACACCTTTGTGAATTAACTTTTATTGTACGATGAAGTGCATTGTTAAAAATTTACATTTGAACTCATGAAACAAGAAATTGTAGTTTAGTTTGTGAAAGGAACTGAACGAATACCTGTGAAAGCTCTGTTTTTTACACTGTTATAAGAGAAATGTCACGAGTTAATATTGATTCACTACTGCAAAATTATTACATACATTTACTTTCCTTTGAAAGAAATCTCTTAAGGCTTTACGAGCGATTCTTGTAAGACTAGTAAACTATATTCCGGTAGTTTACCCTTTATATACGATTTAGGTATTTAGGCTGTATTTTTTTCGAGGAATTGCATCATAACGGCAAGTTTTACACCGTAGAAACACCCTTGCTAGCTTAAGATTTAAAAGATTTATCATATTTTTTTAATCAACTGTTTCTGAATCGTTTTGAAAATAAATAAAACCTCACTGAACATAGGCGTGCTGAGATTGTGCTAAAATGGCTCCCACTTTGAAATATAATGCCAGATTTTTCGTTTAAACTAAGCTTGAAATTAACTTTGTCTCCTTTTTGTCGTTTTTCTACGTCGTTACGAGTCGCCTCCACTGTGCATTCAAGCTGCCTTAGTAACTTTGCGGTCGACTAGGAAAGGAAGATTTTGCCTGTTAAGCCTCTTTTTAACAAGCATATTTGTGGGGCACGCGACATGTTGTAACGGATTCCCTTTGTCAACATCTTTGTCCAACTGTGGACAACTGTGGACAACTGTGGCCTCATGCAAAGATCAAGTCGAGGTCCCGTGTTCTATAAGAATAATTGTGTCTTTATAGTTGTGATTCAATCTTTGCTACCTTGGTTTATTTACAATATAACTCACATGGAGTGATATTCGAAGCACGGCTGACGAAATTTTAGAAGGTCGATAAATTTTTCCACCAGCTATGCAAACCTCGTTGTACATTGGGTTTTAAAGATTTTATGATAAATATGTCAGAAATCCTGTTTTTGATATTTTTCGCTGCTGGAGTTTCTTGGAGATCAGTTTTCTAGGGCAGATGAGTGAATTCTTAGCAAGGTTTTATCTGCTGAAAGAATGTTTAGAATTAAACTTAACATCGAAATCCAGGAAATTTCAGTAGCATTATTACCAAATTCCTCTCATGGACTCTCAACAAGACTTAAGATTTTTACAAGTGTGTTCATTTTTTTTTTAACTTGTTATGGTTACGGGATAGAATGCCGCTTTTATTGTGTTCAAAACAAAATAATTGGTACGCCAACCTTCTTTCATCCTAGTATAATTAACTTTTTGGCTTTCAGAGAAAATTCCCATTTCGGGAAGCCTCGGAAAAGCGCATGGAAGCGGGTTTTGTTTATCATGTGAAGAGTAGATCGCAGGAAACGTAAAATGATTAAGAAATGATAGCTCAGCCGCAAGCTGCCACAAGCTAGAATTTTCATGAAACCACCGGAAACTGGTAATAAATTACTTCCGAAAATTTCCTTTTGCCTCTATCTTGTTTACGTCGAAGCATTGTGTGATGATGCCATTAATGAAAGTTAAAAATAGAGTCGGAGATAATTTGGATACAACGAATTGACAAATTGGCTCGTAGTTTGAACGTTTTGCATGAGTTGTTCCTTTGTGGCGACTCAGAGGCACCTGTGCTTCAAATGGCCAGGCGCCGCTCTATCTGTCATACTCACTGAACAGTTCATTTGCCCAGAGGCTACTTCTTAACAAGTGCAAGCTATTGGCTGTCAAATAGGAAACTTTCAGTCCAATTTTGCATCTACAAAGACTTTCTTAACACTGCACTAAGTAATTAAGCTTCTATACAGAGCACATTTTTCAAGAAACCGGCTGATTGCCAAGCCACAATCGCGTTTAAGAATAGTTTAATAGCAACTAAAACTGACGCAAATTTGAGTTTATAGACAAAAAACAGACGTAATTGTCATCGAGCACAAATAATTCTTCATCGATGCTGGAGCAAATTTACAGCAAAAACAATTATTATGAACACTTTGCGTATTCATTACCCCTTTGATAGATGAAAGTTTATTAAACGAGAGCTGCTCATCTTTTTCAATGAAACTAGAAAGCAGAATTATTCCATTTGAAGACTTCTTCCCATTGTCTGCTTTTGAAGGCTTCACAAAAAAAATTGATGTAAATTTATTAATGAAGACCAAGCGACGCAAACTCTATATGGAGATATAGCAAGCCTCTTCAGTCAGTGAATAACTTCATCCTGGGTGTAGCTGAGGTCCAAGAATATTTTTCACAATCATTTTGAGCAAAATGGAGTGGTTTGCTTATCTTATTTATAGGTTAACAATACCGTCGTGTGTTAAAAACTTTATCTTAAAGTGCATGTCAAATACCCAAGAGTAATATTTTATTTCATTGTGGAGTATTGTTTACCGTAAGAAGACAGAATACAACGCAGGGCAGTTCTTTCAAAGTAAATTAAGAAACTTCAACTTTTCTTTCTTTCTTACTCGACATGTGAATCAAACACCTTGTGGACTTCTCAAATGATTAACGTCTTTTAGACCACCCTCTTAAAAAACCGTCCTATGCTAAACCTTTATATTTGAAATAAATGGATGATAAAAGTTTTCTTGTAATTGTTCTTGTCTTTTGACGTTTACACTTCTAGACAATAAACAAGCATTTAGCCTTCTCTTGCGGTTTGATAGCCTTTGTTAGCGCGGCCACCGCAACAGTTCAGCAACTTTTGTCTGCAGTGACAAACTGAAAGGCGCTGGTACTGTTATTTTAAAAGAAAAACATATGCTGACACAGATATTATAGAGGAGATGGATTGAAAATCAACTTCATTCTAGATGGACATTTTAGCTAACGCTGTGCTCAAAAAGTCAACAACGAATGCCCGCTTAAATTTGTCACTCGCCCTAAGGGCTGAAGTCTTTATCACAAAGTTAGCTCCTAAGCAATGGTGGACAACTGTTGCTCGTGAGGGTGAAACGGTAATTTTGAATTTACTCCAGATATTTATTTCACCAGAATCACCGAGGTACGTTAACAGATAAAGAAGACGGTACAACGGTATAACTCACTTAGACCTGGTTAGTAAGGTCAGTGTGCTGCTAGAAGTGTATCTTGAAATTCACCGTGGACAAATGTTAAGCAGTTGTTCTTTATGTTAATTAATCAAGTAGATGATGCGAAACATGTTAATTTAACCTGAGTTATCTGAAAACCGAGCAAATGTCTCACTGCCTGTTCCTCATAAAGCTTGATATCGATGCAAACCACTTCCTTGCTGCCTCAATTGATCGCTCTGTGTGTCAATTGTTGCATGCAAAAGAAGCGAAGATCTTAAAAGTAATTATGAAATATTATCTACAAAAAGGACCTGAGACAGGCTTGAGTTGTGATCAAGAACTATTTATTACGTTCCAAATAGACGGAATGTATTAACTCCTCTACGAATTCCTCGTTATATTTTACATAGACGGTATCAAAATTGTTATAATCTTTCCGTGAGTTTGCAATTTTCTTTCAATCTTTTAGAAGACAATTTTGTCTGTAAGGGGTGAGAATTATCCATATTGTTATCAAAAAGGCTGTTTGTTGTGCTTCTGTCTCTCTTTTAAAGCTAACACTACTTCTATCGCTGCTCGTAGGTGACGAATATCTCAACATTTTTTTTCATGATAGTTCCTGCTGGACACGTAGCATGCAACAGAGATCTTCAGCTATGACTGGACCCCTAGCTTTCAGTCTGATAGCACTAAAATGCGACGGTATGACGTTCAGTTCTACTGTGTATTTCGTTAATTAATATGGTGTACTGTGGTGAGGGTTTACTTGTTCTTCATGATGAAACTACGCTGATTTTGCTCTTGAACAAAAGAAGTTGTTCTGCCGTAATGGAATCGTTTGCAAAACGTTAGCTGTCTGCTGCGCTTCAATCAGCATCTGAAAGTAACAACAAAAAGGAGACGTTGAATTCTAAGAAATTTTCAAACAATCTTTTATTTATCATATCTATTAAAGAGAAAGCGAATCTGAAGAAAATCAGTTAATGAGTATGATACATAAAACCCTCAATAGAGGGAAACTAGAGTTACCGGAAAGTGATCAAGAATAAGATTTCCACGAAATTGCGACTATCACATTTGCCTTAAACAAGTAAACGACACAACTTCCAAGTTTTAGTTCAGTGGAAAGTTTGGCAAACTAAGTACTTGAAAAATAGGGTGGATTAGTTTCCAGCGCAAACAAGATAGTTTCATGGCTTGTGTAGGGGGGTGGTGTAAGAGACACACTCTCTTTGGGATCTCTGTATCATGTTTCACCTGTATGTAACCTGCTTCGAAAAATTTGTTAGAAAACATCTACATGAAACTTTCCTTTTTCGAATTGTTAAGTCCATATTAGTAAAACTAGCCGACAGGTTCTGTTTTAACGTTTTCCAGTGCATACTCAAAGCATTATGAAAACGCACACATACTTAGCTTCTCGGAAAATCGGAATTCATTTCCACGTTAAATCCTTTGTAAGAATGATTTTCCGTCTCTTTTCAAAACCAATACAGTCGCATGCCGAAAACGTTCTCTTGGCCATACTTTCCGCGCGGGTTAATCCCAACGCGGCTTAACTTGAATTTCGGCTCATGAACGAACAACACTCGGTTTTAATGTGACATTTCTGTTTTCTTCGTAAACTGTTAGACTCAATAGTGTGGTTTTGTCTTGGAAATGTTGGTTTTTACGCTTCTCTTTTCGGGTTCGCCAGCAGGTGGCATAGACAGCTCGTCTATCGCCGTGCGGTGTTTCGATAAGAATATCTTTAATTCACACAGCGAGGCTCAACATTTTCGTCTCTCATTTTCAATAACTATTTTCTTCGAGGGATTCGAGTTTACGTGATGAAAAAGGATGAATGACATGGAAAGTAAAAACAAAAATCAAAATTGAATCTTCTCTTGAAGACCTTCGCAGCTTCGGCGGATATGATCTCTTGATCAGCTTTGTTCAACTAAAACTCCTTCCTATTATAAACAGCGCGTCGGAAAACTTTTCCTTTTTGTATGCTCAAAAATTATTTCATTTTGTTTATTCCGTAAAGTTTATTACCGTCAGGATCTGAGAGAAGTTTGGTGTTTCTTTTTGTTTGTGGAGAATAGAAGCGCCACTTGTCTGCTATGGTGAAAACGCTCCTATCAAGCACTCCTGCTGTGCCTGCAGTATATTCTCAACCTACGCCTTTATAAACTCGTACGAACGAGAAGCTGAAGGAAGCTCTGTGGTTATTTTATGTTGTGCTGACAGCAATGTTCGTAAGAGAAAGAGAGAGAGAGAGAGAGAGTGGAAAGGCAACTTTGGGCCAATGTAAGTGAATTTGTCCATACCTTTAAACTGATCTATACGTTGACAGAGTACGTTTTAATATCCACGTCGCGCTGACAAAGAATTTATATTACCTTTGAGTCAACTTTTATTAAAAGAGGAAGGGCAATCTTGGATATTGGGCCAGTGTAAGTGAATTTGTCTTAACTTTTCGCCGATAACAAAGACAATAACAAACTGCGTTTGATTTCCACTTCACTTTGACCAAAAAATTATATAACTTTCTAATCGACCTTTACTAAAAGAGACCGCAAAATTGGATTTTCAATATATTTTTTTCCATTTCTTACAGTTCCTTGCTGTATTTAACAACCGTGGTCGATGACAACAAGTTCATTGAGTTCACGAAAATACTTCCCTTTCTCACTTGAAGCGTAAAACTGAAAGGTGAAGATCGATGGTGAAATCACCTGTGGAAGGTGTTGGCGATATTTTTCCTTTCCTTACGTTGCGTTATATTTCGTTTTGAGCCCTCCACTTTCTTTTTTTCATTTTCAGTTTTTTTACGGCGCGAAAGCTCTGGTATTAATTTTTTTTCTGATTCTGAAATAATTCGATGTAATAAATACTACAGGATTCTCGGAAAACAGTCCTAATTGCAGCTAAATTCTCCCAGCAACATCACTTATAGGTGAAATTTCGTTAAATTTCATTCATCAAGGGACTACACCGATTAGGATTTTCCTTCGCCTTTAGTAATTTTGATTTAATGCGCTACATTGGTGTTATATAAATTAAACTGAGATTACTCTCACTTGAACTTTGCAATGGTCTAAAGTCACAGTGTTGCAAGTGTCTTAACATTGTAATGCTTTGGAGAGGGCGGGAATTCATAAGAAAGCTCGGTAGTAGCGTGTGAAAAATCAGATTTTAGAGGCGATAACACCGCACTATTAGGTTGCATCTTGATTGCAGCAGTGGACTTGTTTACTCAAAATTAGATTGATATTCTTCTTGCGTTGAAATTTTATTCATACAATTTGAAAGTTATTTCTCCCTCGAAAAGTTATATTCATCGCGATCTTGATGCAATGCAAACGCTTGGAAAACCACTGACGTGCAATATTTTGTCAAACAGACACGCTAACTGCGAAATAGTGTGATGTATTGAAGGGGACGGTAAAAATTTCACTTAATATTTTGGTACCAGCACCTTACCCCCAAGGTAATCATTTAGCTCCTTCGTTCTCTAAAATAAACGAGAATAGGCTTTAAGGGCATGTACGTTCTTAATGAGTTTTCATCTTAAACAAATTTGCGGTATGCCGCTCCGGATTTTTTCAACGATTCTTTGTAAAACAAACTGGGAAAATTGAAAAGCTTATTAAAAGCGCGAAATACCGCCTCGGTCTTCAAAATATTATTAAGCGTTATCACTAGACCTTTTAGCAGTATTTTGGGATGTTACCAAACTAGGAAAAGTGATGTAAAGCCCGAATGATAGAAAAATATGAATTCCGTCAATATTCCGCCTATCACTTTCACTTAAACACCTACGGCTTTTAGAACATTGTTTTGATTCTTTGTTATCTTGAATAGATGTCTTCTTAACCGACTTTGGTTTCTATGTAATACTTGCATCTACTTCCTCGTTGTCTTCTTTTCTCTCAATGAAATCTGCCAGTTTTTCTATCATTACGTATAAAAGTATTTTTTTCCGAACTACTTGATTCTATAGACTCAAAGGATAGTTTTTTTTTTCATCTCAATTTAAACCCTTAGAGCCAAAAGTAAACTTTAATATAATGTAAACATGACAAGATATTATCCTTAAAGACGCATTTTAAGGTTTTAATATGGTGTTTAACAAACAAGTAGACATCTTTAAACGTCTTATTTCGTATTTTGATGTTTAGATTTACTCATATTTTCATTTATTGCTTGTTTCCTTGAGAACATCTTATAGAGAAAATCGGTTTCGCTGAACGCACCGGTAGTCGATGAATCTCATGTCAACCTCACGAGCAGGTGCTCGGTTAAGAACGAAATTTGTTTAATTCAAGTAATACCTACATCTTAAAGAAAACAATATCTATTATCGTACGGTGATAATAAAGAAGGTTAAAAATACGGCAATGTATGCAACGCTACCCAACGGTATTTTCAATAACCATACGAATGTTGGTAAAGTGTTCTTTAGAGCTTTATTCTCGTGGCTTTTGTTCACGTGTATTTAATTTAGGGTAAGATATGATTCTAGCAGGTGCTCGGCGGTGAAATTGATCCACATCAACAGAAAGCCTAACTTTTTTATTGCATGGCACTCCAGGTGATCCAAGAGAGGCTTTCTTTTATTATCTGCCTTAAAGGTAGACGCAGAATGAAGTAATAGAAAAAACTCGACTTGATTCCCGCAATAAAAGTGGCTGCGAAATATTGGACAGGAAACCAACTAGACGATCGCTTTTTTAGTTAATTTAAACCTCAGTAACACACTTCCTTTTCTTTCAAACTACTGATAGGGCAATTTTAATTTTTATAACTAAATGTGGTTTGTGCATCGAGCATTGCGTGAAAAGAAAAAAAAAAGAAAGAAAAAATAACAGATCGCGTGTGTTGAAATAATGAAACTGAAGCAGGTACATGTTCACTGTGATGTCCATTCATTGTTCATTATTGTTTGTCATTTGAAGCTTTTTCTAGCGTTACCATAACTTGTTACTCTTTAATCCGAGAATCTGTGAAATGAACTATAATTAATAAAGGATTTTGTTTATTTTCTTCTTTTGATAGAAATCAAGGCTTGAAGAAAAATAAGATTGTTCCACCAAGGCTTTCCATAGCGTCGTTGTTATGTTTTTTTTTTTAATATCTAGCGTTTTCCTTGTAATGTATTTGTGTCAGATTTTTCATTATCGCAAGATCAGAAAAGCATTTTTTGTACTGTAAACTAAAACTTGCAATGAAGAGTCATTACAAAGCTCTGAGGGGTCCGTTTAGTAGCTCCTCCCTCTTGCTATTAGTAGAAAATTAAGAAAATTCTTGTTTTGGTTCGTTCAATCTGTAACGATATCCTGCTGACAGCATCTTCCTTCATTTTGCCAACAGCGTGAAGGAAATAATAAACACGTTTCCCGCCGCTGTTATTCATCACCCCACCCAGATTAATTGGCGCTACCCGTACCACTCAGCCTCGCGGTCACGCTGTTTTGGTAATAGCGAAGACAATCGGAGCACCACCATCCTAGCGAAGCTCTCGGTGCGTGCGTTTCACTTGGAAGGATTTCTGTTTGTGAGAGATTTAAAGAAACAAAAAAATAAAGCTAGTGCGGGTTTAAGCTTGGCAGTTTAGACAAACCCATCCTGTTGTCTTAATCCCTTCATTGCCCACTGTGTTTTTAACAAGAACTTGTCTCTTTTTATTAAAAAAAAAGAAACGAGCTGGTCACAACGTGTCTAGTTTATAAGTCGATGGTTGTGTTATGTGGAATTCATTCTCCAAACTCTTTAAATGAGGTTATTCTCTTACTCGAAAATCGGAGAGTAATTGCTGTCTAAAACCACATCCTTGCACCTCACCTGTCCCGAAGAACCTTCTGGACCGATAGAATTAACTCCAAGGTACTCTTTCCTTGCTTAGTTTTGCATATCGACAGAATACACTCATTTTGCTGTCATTTGAGCTCTACATCACGTTTCCTCGTTTTTGAAACGTCCCAAAATACTGCTTAAAGGCCTAGAAATATTGGTTATTACAATTTGAAGAGCTCGTTTGTGTTGTATATGCACCTTTCTTCGAGAGAGCTAAAACCCTGAGGGTATATTAATCTGATATAGCTTTGTTGTTGAGCGTTTTTAACCCCAAACACCGATTTTCACAGCCTAACTCCTAGGTAACATAGTCTTAAGCGTAGTTGTCTCTATGACAAACAACTAGCTCGTAGCTCCATAAAAAGCGATCTTGACTGAATGTAACTCATTACTTGTAATTCAAAGCTAAAGAGCTCGTAATTACGAACTCGCTGATATGGTGGAATATTATTTGCATGTATGTCGCTTTCTTTCATCCTTTCTAAATAAAATTGTTTTATTTCGGATCTTATCTTAAATGTTCATTATCTTTTGATTGTTGGTAAAACGTGTACGACGTATTTGGTTTTTCTAAGTGATAACATTTTCCAGAAACGTACTTTCTGGTGAAACTAAAACTGTTTGGCAGATTCATCTCGCAGTCCATATAGTTTCCTGCGGGTATGCTAGATTATAAAATAACGCATAAAAAATGCGTTGGGTTGTGACTAGTTTCACAGTTTGTTTAGCATATAAACCAGAGGATGAATCAGTGAAGAGGGTTTGTTGAACTGACACAGAGAAAATTAAAAAGTGTAGCATTTATCATGAGTTATCATTCTCGTTATTATTCTGACCCCCATGTTCACGTTACACAGTGAGTGTTCAGAGAGGTCACTAGTTGCAGGTTTCTTTTGCCCGGCATCGAAACTGTTCTCTGAATATATTAGCATAGAAAACTTGTTGGCAAAAGTTTTTTAGGAGAAGCTTTAAAATTTCCCTAACAAATGTCAGTCTAGTTTTCCCTAAAAATTCTCGTTTTTCCAAAACTGGCATACGAACAAGTTTTTTATGGGACGAGACGAATTCTTATGGAAAAGCCGTCAATATTTTCCTTCTACCTTGCCAGGCATGAGTTCACCTAAAAATACCTTTGACATAGAAGTTTCTGTGCAGTATCTTTTCTTTCCTATCGATGCAATGCCTGATTTATTTACAACTATGGGTTTGATGAAGGAACGAATAACTATACAGCGGGACTGACTGTGAAACGAGGAAAGACTATTAATCTATGTTCTAGAACCATCAAAGATGGCTTGATAACATGATCGTTTAGAGAAAGTTTTATGAGATAGTGAAAAGAGAAAGTTGCTGTATGAGTGGCTGTTGACGACTTTATCATATACGATCAGAAGGGCTTATTTCCTTTCTTTTGTTTTTGTTTTTGTATTTTAGTTTCATGTTAAGTCCAAGCAATCGTCCATCGCTGCGTCAGATGATTTAAGCATCCCTTTAAAATCGACACCTCAGTAAAAATGCCCTTTATCGTGTATTTTCCTTTGCTTCAAAATAAGTCGTATCAAGTTTATTTACCTGTTTATACTAGACAAGATATTATTTCTGAATGAAATGGATGCTTCTGACTGAGAGACTCCATCATTGTATAGCTTTAAAGCAAACTTTGAATTACAGTTTTGGAATATTTGTGCTAGATGAGCCTTAAAAATTTCACGGAATGTCTGGAAAGAAACATAGGCCTCTTCTTGGTTAAAGCTATTAAAACATAAATCCGCAGACAGTAATACAAAATGGCAATACCAACTCCATTTTTTGGAAAACATTTCCCATGAAATAACATATTTTTTAAATTGAAATTTTCGGAAGCTTTAGACTTTTTTGAGCCCTTATGATTTTATTGTTACTCATTTATACTCTAACATCAAATCTTGCCCATTCATAAAAAATGCCTATAAATTCAATATTGTGTGCATCTCTCTTTTTTCCTTCTAGGACTGTGGCAATGATTTTTTCGACGCTTTTTTCTCTTTCCTTAACCCCCACTCCTAACTAAGAATTTACTCGCTCGTGTTTCGAAGTTTATTTCATTTCCACTTCGAGAAATATTCGTTAATAGGAGCTTTAGAGTACATGTATCCATACCACTGTGCTTACACTTAAACAACCCTAACTTTAAGACCCATTTTCGCTAGTTTCTAACTTTTTTACAAGTTTTTAGAAATTGGGACTCTGGTTTGTGAGTGAACTTCTCACGACCAAAGCGTCATCAAGTAACACAGCCGCTAGGTCACAAAGTTCTCTTTGTTGTTGTTGTTGTTCAAACCATTTCTTACGTTGCAATGTTTAAACAGCAACACAATATCTTATCCCTGAAGTTAAGACATTTCTGCTAAAGTGCATGCTACATGCACATAGCGTTCGCAGATTATGGTCATTTTTCCACTCACGGTACTAATGGCTAATGGTCCGAAATAGAACCTCTCTGTTTACGGTGGTACGGTTTACCTAACGCTTAAAATCAACAATTTTTTTCCTCTTCTCCTGGATCTCAGTTCCAGAGAAAGAGCGAAAAGCGTCAATGACACAAATGTTCGATTGGACGAAATTAGTATTAAGTTTTTGTTGATATGTGGCCTTTTTCGAAATATTTTTTACCGAGCGCCGGTTCGTAGTGCGATGTACAAATGGATGGGTGATGCTGTAACAGAGGTAGAATTTTTGGTGCTTATAATATGGAAACCTACTACTTATAATTTAGTTGTTTTGGTGCGAAAGGAAAATCGATAGTTGTTAAAATAACACATTTTGGGAATGCAAACTTAGTACGAGAAGTGTAAGAGCTTTAAGGTTTCCATGGTGAAATAACATTCATACATGAAAGATAATTTTGACATATCTGATAGTTCCTCATGTCTGAAAAATTCCTCACAGACCTCGGAGTGTCCCATTTTCAATAGAAAATACTTTTATATCCTAAATAACTATATACTATTGGCTCATTTTGTTGGTTTTTTTATCTGTCTTATTTGCAACAGGAAAGAGACCTTTCCAATTTTAGGTCTTATTGATTAACAGAAACACTAATCCATCTAAGAAATATCTTCTAAAATTTACCAGCCTTTTATTCTGCCGCGTGACTTTATTTTAACACCTCATTGGAGGCCTTGTAAAATGTGCTATGAGTGATCAGAAGTACCGTTTGATACAGTACTCCATCGTTTTAATAAACCACTGTTATTTAATTTTTTGGTTTTTGGGTGCAGCATGTCATATTGTATTAGTACAGTATTCATAGTTAAGTCATTGAACATTGTGGGAAAATGAACGCATATCTCTTTTATTCCAGATACCACCAAAGGTACTTTCTTGAGATGTCACTTGTTGTTCTCTCAGTCTCCTTTCGGTGGTTCTGCTGCGCAGGAAATTTTTAGCATCTTGGAAAAAGAAAAACGTTTTACTCAACAAATTTTTGGTAGACGATAATAAAAGAAGGGGAGAGGCTGGACTCGTCTTGATACCAGAAATTCGCATGCACTTTTGCATTTGTTTAGAAAATATTCTCGAACCTTGCCCATCTTAAAAGTTAGGAGGATAAACAAATTCACCTCCCTTTAAAATAATTTTCCTGTTTTTCTTATTTTTTTTTGTTTGTTTCTTGCTTTAACTATGAAGAATTATCAACTCAAACTCATTCAGTGAAGCTTATGCTACTAAACCAAAAGGAGTGCGACGTGTTTTTTTGAGGGTATATCAATGCAATCACGATTTTGTAATTAATTTACTCTTGTGTTGTCTACCTCTTTATGATATGTGACATGGCTGCATGTTTGGTCAAATATTTCAAACTTGCTTTAGTAGAAAAATGATTCATCAGAATTCCCATACTGGAATCACAGTTTTAAAAGCAATGCACATTGTATGCAAATGGCAATTCAACCCGACGATAGTGGGGTAATGCTTATTTTGCATTGTGCTGGTGGTATTGTTAGGCGCATTTTCGTAGTTTTCCCATGGATAATATCGAATCAATAACTGTGTCATGTCACATATTCCATTTTGCAGCGATGAATGTTAAGGAATATTGCAGCGGTATGAATCTCCATGCTGAACTTTTAAATGACATTGCAGCGGTGCGCATGTCGTTGGCCAATTATCAAAGTATATTCAGTGCTCATGGCTTTGTTGCCTCGATATGCGATTGCATCAATGTACACGCTTTCAAGTGGTATTATAGCCGTGTAGTTTCAGTAGTCAGCTGGCCCAAGGTGATATTGCAGCCACTCGCGTATTTATTACACTGTCAAGTGATGGTGCAGCGGTGGGCAGCTTTTTCTTACGCTGCTATAGTACGTAAAATATAACAGTGTATGTTTCGTTTCATATTTAAATGATGTGGCATCACTGGGCATGGCCAAGTAGCAATATTTAACATTAAATTATGGCTAATACTTTACAACCACACTGCGTTCGGCTACTCACGGTACTCACTACCTATCACAGAACAAACAGCGGGGAAGCATAGCCAATCAGGACGTACCATTTGTGATAGAACGTTTGTAGATTTATATTAATGGGTGACATTGCAGCAACATGCACGCCGCATTGCACTATCAGTCAATAATACAGCAATGCAAGTCCCTTTTGTCTTTGCTAGATGATGCTACAGCAGTACCCATGTCTTTGCCCTTCTGATAGCACATGTCTTGAGCTAACTGTGAAATGGTAGTGCTGCTATTAAAACGCCTTAGGTGACATTGCAGCGACGAGAA